CGGACCTCCTGCGGCCGCGGCGGACCATGGGCGACAAAGGGACGCGGTGAGTGCCGGCGGCGGCCCGGCCGGCTGCCCGTGGGGGCGACCTGGGCGAGGGCGCGGGCGGGGGTTCCAGTCGGTCACCCCGGGAGCGCCGACGCCTGGCTCCGCGGCACGCAGCTCTCCTGTGCCGGAGGTCTCCTGTGTGTGGTCGCTAGCGGGGCCGCGGGGGCCGTGGGGCGGTGGGTGGGGGTACCGGGAGCGAGGAGCCGGACGCCCCATCCGGCTCGCAGCCCGTCGCCGCCACACACTCACACACACTCACTGGCTGCCGACACCCCGCACTGGCCAGCAGACGCAGAGACGCAAGGGGGCAGGTTACCACACAATGGCACACACGCTCCTGGAGACACACTCATCCACGGGCACACTCATGCTGGCACGCACACAGACGTTCACTGCCACAGGCTCGTCGTGTACAGTGACACACCGTCCCACACTCACTGGTACACACTCGTGAACACATTCTTGCGGACAGTCATGTTGTCACACACGGGGCACACTCCGGCACACGTCAGTTCTACCACACCTTCATGTTGGCACACACTGATACACACATATCCTGTCACTTGCACTCACTGTAACGAACACTCTGAGACATACCCTCACACTCTCATGCTGGCACATATCTCCCCAACACCGTGTTTGCCAGACCCCACCAGCACGGACCCCCACAGACCCGTCAGACAAATGCCCCCCCGTACTGGAGCCCTGTGGTCACAAGCCAGCTGACCCTGGGGCTGCCGACACACTCACTCCAGTCCCCACATGGCAAGAAGTGGAAACACACACATCACACAGGGTGGCAGGCCCTCCGGAGCCTGGGAAACATGCATCCCATCCACTGTTTCCCCTCCCTCTGACCTCCAGAGGCCTGGGGTGGCTGGCTACAGTGTGTTTGAAGTGGGGGTGGGGAGAGGGGTTCCTGTCTCCTTAGGAGCTTGCCCTGGCTCGGAAAGGGAGGGGCTTTGCCTCTGAGATGGAAAACTAGGACAAAATAGGGGAGGGAGCTGGGGCAGGGCAGCCCCTGGGGACAGCCCCTCTAGACCAAGACAAGCCCAGATCAGGCACTCTGGTTTGTTACCCCGGTTGTACCTCTTCACTCTGCCTACTGCTTGAAGTGCCAGTAGAAGCTTCTCCCTCTCTCCTCCCCCTCCCCCTTCTACAAGCCCCTCTTTTTCATTTTTTTCTTTCTTTTCCATCTTCTATCCTTGTGCCCCACTTCTCCCTCCTCTCTTCCCTCTCTCCACCCTCCCTGTCTCTCTTCTTGCTTCCAGTAATTATGTATTGAGTGCCTGCTGTATACTAGGCATAATGTGGGGATCAAAGATGTGCGAGACCTATTCCTTCCCCAAAGGAGCAGATAGACTAGGGGGAAGTGACCCCAGTGGTCATCATGTTAGGTGACCACGAGAAAGTAATTTCACACTACTGCCATCCAACACTCTTTCTCAACAGCATTAGAAAGATCCTCCAGAGATTATTTTCATTTTTCAGAAGAAACTGAGGCTTGGAGATAATTTAGAAACTGCTTCCCAGTCATCCTCCTGACAGCTCTTCAAGGAGGTTAATTTTCCTCTTCCTGTTTTCCAGAAAAGGAACTAGAGTGTTAGAGATTACCTGACTTGCTTAAGGTCAGGGGGCGTGAGAAGCAGGGCAGAGGCTGGAGCCCACTTGGTCCATTTCTCTGTGGCTTGCCCTTGGGCACTGCCAAGCCCTTCATGGGCCCTGGGTTGAAGGCCATGGTGGGGTGCCCTGCTCTGTGTGTGGAGGCCCAGGCTGGTAGGGAAGGCTGCAGAAGATCGTGAGGCTTCTGCATTCACCTTGATGACTAGTTCTCATTGCAGCTGGCTGGCACTGCGACCAGGTCTTTGTCCTCAGTAAGAGGATGTGTGACTCTCTCTTCTGCTATGTCCACGTCCCCCAAAGCCGAGATCCTCCTGACCATTGAGATGAGACTTTTCTCCCCGTGAGATTTAGGAGCCCTTGCTCTTCTCGTTTATTCCTCCTGCGCTGCTTCGCCATCAGGGTGACTCAGCCCCTCTTGGGCCTTGGTTTGCCTCTGTGTGACTTGAAGAGTGTCATTGCTCCCCATGCCAGCGTAGGGTGTCAGCAGGATGGGGACCCTGTGAGCAGCCAGGTACCTGTTGGAGACCCTATCTTTGGGGTCAGGATCTTTTCCACGACTCCCCCTGCTTGCCTCTAACTCACTGGGAGACCTTGGACATTTGTCTTTACCCTTCTGGACCTTAGTTTCCCTGTCCGTAAATTGGAGCCGTTAATACTTAAACATTTCAGGGCTCTCTTGTGTTTACTGAATTTGCTGGGCAGGGGAAGAGGTGCTGCCCGAAGCCTGGAGCCCAGGCTTGGCTAAAGTCCATTCAATGGATGGTGGCCCTGCTCTTTCCCTCTCTCTCCCCTGTAGCCCCAGGAGGCCTCCTTCCCCCTTCCAGAAAGGTTTCCTGAGTAATTTGGAAGAGAAGGGCAAAATCAATAATGGGCTGTACTGTGCCTCACTCCGTAGGCCATGGGTTTCTTTCTCTGACCTAGAAGAGGAAACTGCAAATATCCCATACTCTAAGGATCAGGAGTCATGGCATCCATTCCTGCACTTGGACTCACCCCCCCGCCCCATATGAAAATGACAGTGAGAATTAGTCAGAAACTGTCACTGTCCTCTAGGAAGTCTCGAGGTCCGGGGGGAAGGAGGGGTGAGGCAAATGCCTGGATGGGATTAATTACAGGGCAGGTGGTATGACTGCTCTACCAAGGTGCTCTGGGAGCAGTCATACCTCCATTCAACAAATGTTGACTGAGGGTCTGGGGCTGGAGCTTCAGAGGAAGGGCCCCATTCTGTCCCCGAAGGATTTAGAGCAGAGCAAGTGGTTACACGGCAGGGTGACAGGTGCTGTGGAAGGCCTAAGGAGGAGCCCCTGCCCCGGTCCCAACAGGGGGCATGGTGAGGGAAGCTTTCCTGGGAAGGAGGTGGCTTTGGAGCTACTGAGCTTCATCTGGAAGGACGAGGAGGCCAAGGCGGTGGCCCTGGGGATGTCATTCATGGCTCAGGGCGCAGAATGTGCAAAGGCCAGGAGACGTGAAGCACCCTGTGTAGCCTGCGGGTTGGGCCGGTGATGATGGGTGAGCCTCAAGAGAGAAATACAGGCTCATTGGCAACCGCCTGGAATGTCAGGCTAAGGAGAGAGGGCGTGGTGGTTCGGGGTGGGGGGGCGTGAGACGAGGGATGGGGGCAGAGTTCCCTTGCAGAGGGACGCCTTTGGCAGTGGCAGGGGGCGGAGGGCAGAAGCAGGGAGACCGGGTGAGGAGGCCGGGGAGGAGCCTGGGAGAAGGCAGGATCTGAGCTAAGGTTGGGGAGAGGACGCAACTGAGAAATATGAATGAGGAGGTGGTGTCCATTCGGGTGTCTGGTATGTGTCAGGAGACTTACATGCATGATCTCATTTGGTTCTCCCGGTGATCCTGTTGATGGAGGGATTGTGATTGCTTTTTACAGCTGAGGAAACAGACTAGGAGAGGCTAATTTGTCCGCTGCCATTCAGCCGAGAAGCCAGCCTGTGTGTTCACAAAGCCCACTGCTGCACCGCGCTTTCACCCAGAGGGAGAGGGCTGAATGGCCCACACAGCTGGCCTCCCCCACCTCCCTGGCAGCTCCACGCTCCAGCTGTGCATCCCTTCTGGTTCTTGCTGTTCTTCCTACCGCAGCGGTCAACATGAACGATCAGAGTTAGATAACAGGAGGGACATCCTGAGAGGCAATGGGATGGAATGGAATTCTCATTCCTGCAGATGTTTGTGAAGTTTTCTTTGTTGGAAGGGGAGGAGGGCGGGTATGTTGGGGACACGTCATCACCAGCTCTCCGAACCTTGGCTGTCATCTCTCTTGGCAGTTAAGCCCTGTGTGACCTATCTTGACTGGAACATGGGGATGTCTTGTGGCTTTGTCAAGGGATGCTTCTGGGGTTGCTGGGAGTGGCAATGTTGAACCTGACTTACCATCTCTGGTCCCCAGTCGAGGCTGGCTTCTGGGCTTCAGACTTGTCCACAGCGTGGGTACTGTGGTGCAGGGAAGAGGTATGGCATGGGCAGAGAGGAGAGTTAGGGACAGCTGGGGCCTTGGAGAGCACCCATGCCTGAGGGGGAAGAGGAAACCAGCTTGGGCGAGACTCCTGGGAGTTAGCCAGAAGGCAGTGGCCGGTGACTTGGCAAGGGGGCTTTTGACGGGGTGGTAAGGGCAAAGCTGGGCCACAGGGGTACAGGGGAGAGGAGAGGACTCTGCTTTTCCCCGTGCTTGGAGCTGAGGTGGGCCTCGTGGAGGAAGGGTGTGAGGCCCTGGGCTCAGGGTGGTGGAGACTGGGGGTGTGGGAACCTGGGGGGGGGGTCCGGCTCAGCTGAGGGTGGGAGGGATGCTGCAGAAATGTGAGCTGGTCACAGGCGAGGCTGTCTGTGCTGGCTCCTGAAAGAGGGGCATCTGACTGGGGCTGGGGTTCTTGGGGATGCCTTTCAGGAGGACGTGCCTTCTGAGCTGGGTCCTGGGGCATGGCGAAGGCCAAGGCGTCTAGACGGAAAGTGCAGACAGCAGGTGCAGGTGCAGGTGCAGGCGCAGGGTGCTGGGTGGGTGAATCTCATGGCAGTTTCTCACACATTTATTCATACCCCAGGTGTTTTTATTCCCCAATTGGTGAGCTCCTTGTGGTGTGGGGGCCATTTCTGTTTTCTGTTTGCTGGCCCATTACCCACCTCTGGGTCTGATTTATTGGAGATGCGTGGTAAGGATTTGTTGACTGGACTGAATCCGTCCACCCCTCTTGCCTCTGCTCTCAGCCCAGGGGCATCCAACGGGCTAATATTAGGTCCTTCCCATTAGGGAATTTAAGGATGAAAGCCATGTTTTCCACATTAGGCTAGGTTTGGTGGGGGGAGAGCGGAGAGCCGGTTTCCTCCATCAGATTGTGAAGTCCTGCGGAAGCGGGGGGGGGGGTACCATCC